CCTGCTGATACTGTTTAGGCACCATATCCATCTTCTTCCCATATGGTGTCATGCCAGCATTGGTGCAATTATTTACACCATCCTCACTTACTGCAAAGAGAAATAAGAAAAATTTTACCAAAAATAAAAAGTTCTGATGGGGATGGATCCCAATAACACCAAGGTAAGAGCTGCTCCTGAAAGCACCAATGTTGTTCATTAGCAATATTTGCTTGGACACAAATGGTGAAGGAGATTCTGACAGAACAGGAAAAGTCTCTCTCCTCCATCCTCATTTATCACCAGAGGTACTGAATTGTAAGCTCCCAAAGTGAAATTTAGGAGATGCATTTTGTTCCTGGGCCTATTACAAATTTCCTGAATGGCTGCAGCAAGTCATTTTGTCTTGTTTCTCTGTCTTTCTGATCAATAAAACAAAGGTAATATTTCCCAATGTCAAGGACAACCAGGAGAATGGATCATTAATTTATGTGAGTTGCTTTGCTTTATTACTGCTGCTAATGAGGAGCCTCCCCTTTAGGATATTATTAAGCACTGCTTAGGCACTGAGAAATAACACTGATGAGACTACACCAAACCCAAGAAATCACACTGTACTTTGTGACAAGATAAGCAGGAAAGGTGCAGGCAGTGTTTTCCAGATATATCTCTGATAAGCTGACAATTACAGTACATAGTATTGACTTCCTGCTTCTGTCAAAACAGTCACGGAAATTTATGGCAAACGGGATTGGTATTTTAAAGTTCAGCTTTATATGAATGTCACCCCAAGAGGAACACTAGCTGAGATTTCTGATTCTTTATTTTTGATAATTTCAGATTCTGTCCTCTTAGTGGTAGATGCAAGTCCCTGTGGCAATGTTAGAAACTTTAAAAGCTTTGGTTTTGATAGTAAAGGATGTTCAAAAACATTTTTATGATGTATGTAATAAAAAAGGTGCTAAAATCTCAGGAAAAAAAGCCACCAGAGACTGATTTCTTAGTGTAGCTCATCTAAGATGTACTTTGTGAATTTTGTAGATTCACAACACTTTGAGGTAATGGTCTAAATTCATCCTTATAGTGGACTATTTTTTCTATATCAACAGTTTTCACTTGCCCTGCCTAGGAGTTTACATTAACCACTGAGGGTTCACAGCTGCTACTTAGCAATGGTATCTGGATCTTTGCTTGAAATTTGGGCTTAGAAATGAGAGCAAAATATACTTCTGGCTACAGAAATGTTCTGAACAGTGGCGAAAAAGCCTGCTGGAGGCTGTGAAAAATGCTCTATGACATAACTTTATAAACTAAAGCCAGCTGGAATGACCATGAAGATCAGCTGCAAAAATCTGGACTTCTAGGCTTCTCTGCTTATATGCAGAAGCAAAAGGGAGTTGAACCAAAAGTGAAGCACTTACATTCATTGCTCAATTTTTTTCAAGTTTCTGAGGATGAAAAACATCATGCAGCAGAGATCTGCTCCTTTCTTGTCCCAGCTAGAAAGAATATTTGTTAAGAAAGTTGAAATGCTTTCTCTCTCAGAGATTCGTAGCTTTTGAGGTCTATTCTCATAACATGACAATACAGAATTGATACTGATGCATATTTTTCTAGCTGGTTAATAAGCTTCCTCTGCTATATTTGGATATGCATTTCCTTTACTCAGGACTTGCAAGGAATGTTTCCTTCATTTTAGGAACTTAAAATAGCTCAGTGAATAGTAACTGTCATAATGTTTTCCTCTCCTTCTCTTTACCCAAATGAAGTTTGGTTATTCAGTGTTTTTTCCTCACAATTTGAAGAACTTACGTTGTGATTTTTACGACATAACAATCTACAATTGGTATTCTGCAAACTGCATAAACCACATTTAAAAAAATCAGACTGATACAGCTCCTTTTCAATGTTTGGTTTTTAAAAATCAGAAATCATTGTAATGCACACATCAAGGGAGGTTCTTCTGAGTCTTATGAATAATAGCAGTGTGTAACACAAATATACTAAGGTGGTCTGTGCTTTTTATTTCTTCACATAGAGTGCTATGACAATGGATATAGTGTAAGGACTAAATAAAATAGAGTTATTAAATGTTCCTGTCTGTGAGAGACACTCTCACTATTCAGAAGAATTGTTCCCTGACTCTATGTAAACTCTTTGAAGCTCTAAACATTAAAAAAAATACATTCCAGGGGGCTTGTTTTTCTCCTAGACAACCATTCAGTAATACTTAAAGGCTGAAATTGAGCACCGGACAAGAGAAAAAATAATTTTGGAATTTAGCATTGTAATTTTCTGTAGACTAACAGCACACAGTAGACTGTCCTCGTGATGCTGCTTAGCAACAACAACGCTGAAGTGGAAAGCCACTGAGAGCCACTTAAAATGCTGCACCTGAGAAACAATAAACATCATTTTAGGCTGACGCTTACCAACTCTTCACTAAATGAATAGCAATGTCTGGGCGAATAGTGGCATAGACAAACTGACCAAAACCCCCATTCCCTGTCACCCTGTGCTGCTGCGGGGGAGGAGGTAGAGAATTTGGGAGTAAAGTTAAGCCAGGGAAGAAGGGAGGGGTGGAGGGAAGGTGTTTTTAAGATTTGGTTTTATTTCTTGTTAACTTACTCTGATTTGATTGGGTTTTTTCCCTAATTAATTTCCCTAAGTGGGATTTTTTTTTGGGGAATGTTTTGCCCATGACGGTAATTGCTGAGTGATCTCTCCCTGTCCTTATCATGACCTGTGAGGTTGTTGTTATATTTTCTCTCCCCTGTCCAGCTGAGGAGGGGAGTGATAGAGCGGGTTTGGTGGGTACCTGGCATCCAGCCAGGGTCAACCCACCACAGTTTCCTCTGAAATAAATTAGACCTTCCTATGGATGTGTCAAGCTGGCAGGATTGTGTAAGTCGGGTACTGTATTTTTCTTGGGCTTAAGCACTCTTTCTCTCCATTACTTTTCAAAGATTCAGTGACAGTGTTTTCTATATGCTTTTCCTAATAGAAGGGAGTTAACAGTTCTCAAAGTCATGGCCCTTCCAGGAGGCATTCACACCCTCTTCTTCATGTAGCCACCATAACTTCAGAGGGAGTCATACAAACCCCCCAAGAATGTTCGCAGACTAAGATACTGTCTGACTGTGCCCGCAAAATGTGAGACCCTTAGCAAAGTCATATACTTGTATTTTTTTGCAAAAGAGACAACACGGATTTGACAATTTCCATGATCTCTGAATTTCCTCTCTCTCCTTTCCCTCCCTTCCCTCCAGAAGTGTTGTTACTGCCTATAGAAATGGAAGATCCCTACATCAGTTTCTGTTCATGTGTACATACCACTTCTTTGGGAACACAGCAGCTGCCAAGGGCTGCCTGATCAGACTAGCAGGCTACAATGGAGAGCAGTTATTCCCAGCAGCGAGAAAACTGGTGGCTGTTGACTTCAGTTTTGTAGAGAAGACAGTTGTTATTTCCAACAAATTAAAAGAGATTCACTGAAGTGTTACACTTGTCTTTAAGAACATAGGACTATTCACAAGAGATCTCGTCAAGGTCCATTTCACTTGATATCCTGTCTCCAATGCTGTCAATGAGATTCTGAGCAAGAACGAAAAAAACCCAGGCATATATGATGCTTCCTTCTAATGTTCCTAATGTTTCCTTTTCAGAAGACCTTGTGAATCGAATGTAGTTTTGCATGTGTAGTAAATCTTAATGTATTTGCCTTCTATATGGAGTTTAGTTTCTCTGGAAACACACTCAAAAGTTTAGTCCTCTCCTCATTTTTGGCTGCAAGTTGTACAGGTCTGCCACTTGCTAAGAAAGTGACAGTTTTCACCCTATCTCCTATTTGATATCTTTTACTGAAAATGGTGGCGAACAATGACAACCCTACCTACTCTGTGCAATCATCCCTAAGCAACATTACACGTTGAAGGAGTTTCAGCTTATTTCCTATACAGAAATTATTCCATATGTTTTCCCTTCTCTGACTTTTTAAAAAATCTACTATAAACTTTTGAGATTATAAAATCAGGTCTGTGTAGAGTATTTAGGAAATGAGTGAACAGTGGGATGATACCGCAGCAAAATTATTATTTTTCTCTTTGCTCTCTCTCCTGATGAATCCTAATGCCTTATTTGCTTCACCCTTTTTGAACATTGGGCTGATGTGTTCCTGGAGCTATCTTCAGTGCTCTGCTGTGTCACTCTTTAGTAGAGGTATTGATTGGAACTCGTCACCCGTATGTGAAGATTGCGTTCTGTGTAACTCAATTAATATTACATCTCATTGCTAGTCACTCAGGATGTAATTCATTTGTTTCACTGTGGCTGTTTATCACCATTGTAATTGTATAGGATACCTGACACACCTGCTTGGGGCTGACAGCTGTGTTACAGGGACTGTAGGAAAGTCCGATGCCCTGCAGTGCATAACAAGTGGTGGGTTCTGTCAGTTTGAGCAACTTCATTTTAGGAGAAAAACTTTTCCTGTTATTCCTAGTTATTCCTAGCTCATATCATCATCAGAGTTTCCTAACTCGTTGCTTGTGCACTTAACTGGTCTTTTACAAGTAAGCATTAAAGAATACAGCCTTACTATGTTTTTCTGGATGGTTGGTTGGTTTTTTTGT